CAGCAGCAATATCGAGAGATGGGATTCAAAAAGTATTCTGAACTTATCTCACATCTTCTTGTAGTCGAGCAACTTAATGTGCTATTAATAAAAAATCATGAAAGCCGACCTATTGGTTCTTGTCCATTCCCTGAAGTGAATGAGACGAACTTCCACCAAGCTAAGCGTGGAAGAGGACATGGCTTCAGTCGTGGTCATGGCCGTGGTCGGGGAGGAAACTCTAATCGTGGTAATAATAATGCACCAAAGAACCCTCCTCACCACCAGCAGTGGAAAAGGAAGGAACAAAAGCATGAAGCGGTGCAAGCAGCAAAGCCAGAAAATGCATGCTATAGATGTGGAGGAAAAGGGCACTGGTCACGTACATGTCGTACGCCAAAGCACCTGGTTGAGCTTTATCAAGCCTCCCTGAAGAAGACAGAGAAAAATGCTGAAGCAAATTTTATTTCTGAAGATAATTTAGACTTCATGCATTTGGATGTAGCTGATTACTTTGCACTCCCAGAAGAAGAAATAAGTCATGTGATCGGTAGTGAATCTGTAGAAATGTAAATACTTTAATTTTGGTTATTTGTAGTAGATAGTATGGTTATGTAATTGTTGTACATAAATAAAAGTTATGCTTTGGTAATGATATTTACTATAATATATTTTATTTATGCATTTTAAAGAATATGGATAATCCTCAAATTATGTTTGGATCAAAGACCAATCATGAAGATATTTGTGTAATTGATAGTGGAATAATACATGCCATATTCAAGGATCAGAAATACTTTTCTTATTTGCATAAGGAAAAAGCAAATGTTTTAACAATTTCTGGTAATATAAGTTTGATTGAAGGCTCCGGAAGAGCCATTATATTTTTGTCTAAGGGAACAAAACTTATTATCGATAATGCATTGTTCTCCTCCAAGTCCCGAAGAAACTTGTTGAGTTTTATAGATATCCGCCGAAATGGGTATCATGTTGAGACAATAGATGAAATGAATGTGGAATATCTTTGTATTACAAAGAATATTTCTGGCCAGAAATGCATTGTAGAAAAGTTACCAACTTTATCTTCTGGCTTATACTATTCAAAGATTAGTACAGTTGAAGCACACTCTATCGTAAACCAGAAGTTTACTGATTCAAATACTTTTGTGCTTTGGCATGGCCGTTTGGGCCATCCTGGATCAATAATGATGAGACGAATTACTGAAAATTCGAGTGGGCATCCATTAAAGAACCTGAAGATTCTTACAAATAATGAATTTTCTTGTGATGCTTGTTATCAAGGCAAAATGATCACTAGACCATCACCAATGAAGGTTGGCATTGAATCCCCTACCTTTTTAGAACGTATACATGGGGATATATGTGGATCTATTCACCCACCAAGTGGGCTGTTTAAATATTTTATGGTCCTAATAGATGCGTCTTCAAGATGGTCTCGTGTGTGCCTACTATCATCTCGCAACCTGGCGTTTGTAAAGTTATTAGCCCAAATAATTCGATTAAGGGCACAATTCCCAAATTATCCTATAAAGGCTATTCACCTTGATAATGTTGGAGAATTTTCATCTCAAGTTTTTGATGATTACTGTCTATTAGTTGGGATAAAAGTTGAACATCATGTAGCTTATGTTCATACTCAAAATGGCCTTGCAGAGTCATTTATTAAACACCTGCAGTTGATAGCAAGACCACTACTTATGAAAATAAAATTACCCACTACTGTTTGGGGTCATGCTATCTTGCACGCAACATTACTTATCCGTCTCAGACCGACACATTATAATAAATATTCTCCGTCATAATTAATTTTTGGTCATGAACCAAATATTGCCCATCTACAAATTTTTGGATGTGTTGTATATGTGCCAGTAGCACCACCACAGCGCAGTAAGATGGGCCCGCAGAGAAGGTTAGGAATATATGTTGGGTTTGAATCACCCTCTATTATTCCCTATCTTGAACCATTGATGGGAGATTTATTTACTGCTCGATTTACAGATTGTCGATTTGATGAAATAAATTTCCCACAATTAGGGGGATAGAAAAAAGAAATCAAAAGAGAAATTATGTGAAAAGTTTCATCATTATCTCACTTTGATCCATGTACCCCTATATGTAATCAGGAGGTCCAGAAGATCATCCATTTACAGAATATAGCAAATCAAATGCCAGACGCATTTACTGATTTGAAAAGGATAACTAAGTCACATATCCCAGCAGAGAATGTGCCTATCCGAATTGATNAGAGCTAGTGAACCTAAAGCACGCCTGAAGTGTGGTAGGCCTTTGGGTTCTAAGAATCGAAATCCTAGAGAAAAAAAATTGACAAATGATCAAAATGATATTATGAAGGGATCTCCTGAAGAGACCCAAGATCTGATTAGTTCTGAGATTCCTGAAGAAATCAATGAACCCGAGACTCAAGTGAGTGAGGAACTTTTAATAAGTTCTACTGGTGATGGGATTAATTTAAATCGATCTGAAATAGTGGTGGATAATATTTTTGCATATAATGTTGCACTTAACATTATGCAAGATAGTGAGAATCTTGAACCCCGATCTGTCGAAGAATGTCGACAAAGATCTGATTGGTCAAAATGGCAAGAGTCAATTCAATCGGAATTGAAGTCACTAGCTAAAAGAGAGGTCTTTGGACCAGTAGTCCAAACACCTACTGGTATAAAGTCAATTGATCATAAATGGGTTTTTGTGCGAAAAAGGAATGATAAAAATGAAGTTGAAAGATACAAGGCTCGCCTTGTTGCACAAGGATTCTCACAACGACCTGGAGTCGATTACGAAGAAACATATTCACCCGTTATGGATGCCATAACATTTCGATATCTCATCAGTTTAGCCTTATGTGAAAGGCTTGAAATACATCTAATGGATGTGATTACAGCTTATCTATACGGGTCACTTGATAATAAAATTTACATGAAAATCCCTACAGGATTTAAAATGCCTGAAGCATATCCAAAATCTCGAAAAATGTACTCAATCAGATTACAAAGATCTTTGTACGGTTTAAAGCAATCTGGGCGCATGTGGTATAATCGCCTCAGTGAATATTTACTGAAAGAGGGTTACATAAATGATGTTATTTGTCCATGTATTTTTATAAAGAAAATAGCTTCAGAATT